TGACCTACAACTATAACCGCTTACAGTTAATGGTTTCAAAGCTTCATTTGGTGACAATCTCAATAAAACGCTCAAGCATCTCGATAAAAACGCGGCATTCGTTGTTTTCTTGATATCAGAAGAAGTGTAGTGAGCATTGATTTTGTTATTTTATCGTTGTTCTATTTTCTCATTTAATATTTCTTTAAAGTTCTCCCTGGCCTTATTTTTGCAAAATACAATATATTCTTGATGTGTTCGGTCATCGTTATTTCGTATCATCACTTCAGGCAAACGAACTTGTAAATGTATTATCACATATTCATTAATATTGAAATATATTATTTACACAAAACAATATTTTTCGGAACCTCAGAAATAAAAATATAAATATGACATTTTAATTAAAATATTTAGCAAAATATAAGACAGTTGTCATCTGTCACTTTTGTCAATTCCAATTCAATGTACTAATTTTGGTAGAGTATTATTTACTTTGTCAAAATTTACTGACTGCGGTTTGAGTTCGAAAAATGAAGAAGTATCATTTTTTTAATATTTATGCGCGTGATTACGGAGAAGTTTCTGGCCAAAAACCAGAAAGTTTATTGTGCGTTCATGGACTTGGAAAAGGCTTATGAAGAGTGGACAGGACTATGTTATGGCAAACACTGAACTCATTTGGGTTGAGCGCTGGTTTGATACAGGCATTAAGATCTCTTTATAGGGACTCTAGTGCCTGTGTCAGGATCAACGGGGTCTACTCTGACTGGTTTGGCATCCAAAAAGTTGTCAGACAGGGCTGTGTAGCTTCCCCGTAGCTGTTCAACTTATTTATGGACAGTTGTTTACAAACTTTGAAAAATGATGAATGAGGGTTAAGAATGGGCGAGTTAACCATCAAATGCCTTTTGTACGCCGATGATCAAGTCATATTTGCGGCGTTGTCGGCTGAGTTGCAAATGATGGTTGCATTAATGAACTGGGCATTAAAAGAAAAGGGAAAGAAAGTGAACGCAAATAAGACGAAAGTAATGGTTTTTGAAAGAGAAGAAAGTAAAAAGTTATGTGAAATAAGAGTAGAAGGGGAGTTGATTGAGCAATCATGGATGAGTTCGTGTATTTGGGATGTGTGGATATAGAACGACAAGTGAATGTAAAAATTGAGTAAATGGGGCTCTACACTATATTATGAAGAATCAGAATGTGTCATAAAGGTACGTATGGAAATTCATAATGCTGTGTTAATCCCTACTTTAATGTATGGCTATTTTAACGTATGGTAGTAAAAGTTGGGTTAGGCAGAAGTAGCGCGAAAGTAGAATAATTGCTGAAGAAATGCGGTCTTTAAGGAGTATGCTAGGGTTGAACCAGAATGACAGGGTGAGAAAATGTGTGATGAGAGAAAAACGTGGTATGCAAGATGGTGTTGTGACCACGATTAAGAAAGGAATGCTTCGGTGGTTTAGTCATGTAGAAAGAATGAATGAGGAAAGAGTGACAAAGCAAATTTATATGGCAGATGTGAACGGCGGTGTCGGGAAGGGATCTAGACCAAAGTTTATCAACAAAATTGGCGATATTTTGAAAACGGGCCACATTAGAATTACCCTTAACCGACGAGCGTGTATGGGAAGATATATGGACGTAAAAGAGGCGAGAGAGGTATGTCAGGATCGTGCCAAATGGCAGTCCGTAGTATCTGCCTACCCCTCTGGGTGAGTGTTTATGTATGTAATGTAAGTCTAAGCGTAATATTTTTGACACCGTAATACTATAGTTTCTTGATTAATATCTCATGACGAACACAATCGAAACCCTTGTAAAGATGACAAAAATTACATAAGCCATCTCGTGAATTCCTTCAGACATTGAAAATATATTTCATAAGCTCAACACTAGCGTCAGTTATCGAACGAACCCCTGTTTCTAACTTAAATAAAATTAAAACTCAGTTATAATATGTTTTTGGCATTACAAAAAATTGTACACGAAACTAATGGATGTGTCAACCGCGACATTTTTGTCCAATGTCTGTGACATATTCCCCTTATCTCGTAAAGCAATTTGTATGTAGAACGACTTTTTTAGATAGTTGATGCCGTTTTAATTGGTTTCGTTGCAGTTATTTGGTTGTCATGTAATAATAAGCTGCTTGCGAGTCAATTCATCGTAGTTTAGTAGGATCTACTCCAACACTCAAAAAAAATCCATAAAAATCGTTCAACCGTTTAGAAGGAGTTCAGTGATAACACACGTTCATAATAATTATATATATATATATACATATATAAATATATATATATATATATATTTTTTTTTTTATTATTATACAATGTTTTCACTCATTAAATTGGCACGTAAAGATCTCCACAGAACAATGATGAATGTGAAAGTGGTTAGTATAGAGAACTGTAAACCATTTTACTGGACACGTGGCATTCACCACCTTAGTCCCAGGAATGTTAACGCATCTACATTTTGTTTTTTAATCGAGGGTGTCTATGACCTACGATCTACGGCTTACCATAAGCTGGACATTATGCTCCCTCATTCCATAAAAAATAACATTCGAAATACACGAGAAGATATACGATCAACATTTGTTAAAATTTTAATAACACAGAGTCGATTGTTTAAACGAAAGAATTAACAGTAAAATTTATAATGCGCAACGCAAGGTAATATTTTTATTACAAGAACGTCTTAGTTAGGACCCTTTTACCTTTACCCTTTACCTTTTACCCTTTACTTTGTATTTGTTTCGTAATTTAGTTCTTTTAGGGTTCTTTCGGGAGAATGAATATTCACTACATCTACTGAAAGCTGTTGGTATAAAATGGAAAAAGTACCCGATGCAAGGTCTTCGATATCCCACATTTCAAAATATGTGGAGGAGGCACACAGCCCCACACAGGCTAACGCCGTGTCAACAACACGCGAGGAAACTGGGCCGAAGAGGATTGGTCCGTAGTACACAGCAAAATAACTGATGAACCAGTAAAAAAGTGCTTAAGCCCTTGGTAGTGCGGAAGTACAAACATCGATGATAAACGCCATACAGAATACGATGAAATCCAGGCACACTGAATATACGTCACGTGGTTTAGGTAACACGTCGATTAATAGACACACTGAACATAAAAAGCCCTCCGTGAACGTCGCCACCTACCAGACCGCTGTTCCTACAGACCCGATGCAGGTATAAGGCATCACCACCAATTGCATGATCAGCACAACTTCTAGCCGCTGATCGTGTCGTGAGTATACCGCTTATCTCAAAGAAATAAGTCCAACGTTGAGAAGCTTTCGGCCACAGCCCTGAGCGTCTCCTCACTCCAGCTACCACACGAATAAAGTTGACATAATATGCTCCACCAACCAATTTGAAATTGTATTAAAATTACATATAAATTGTATATAAATAATCATTCAAAGGTGTGAAGTTAACAGAGATACTTTATTTTTGTTATATAAAACATCATGAAGGCCATACAACCTGCAGCCCCAACATCAAGGGACTCCAAAGTGTATGTCAAACCAAGACGCAGAGAGCGCCATCGAGAACAACGACTCGCCAAACAATCACGCAATGATGCGGAATACAACGAGCATCAACACGCCTATCGTCGGGTCTATATCATCTAAAAGTCCATCATACGATCTCAGCAGACATCACCACCCACATATCTCCATCGACCAGAAACATAAGATGCGTCTAAGCAGGCGAAGCACACTTGCAGATACATCGCAAGGCAAAATACTGCAAGTAGCAGTAAACATCAATGCAACTACCACATGGATGGCACCGCCCCCTCACAACATGCCCACATATCTATCGACTTTGGCACAAAAATCGGTAATGATGTTTATTAAAAATAGTACCAAAGTTTCATCAGCACACTACTAAGATGCCAACAATCAAACATCCATGTATCATTGAGCTATTGCACTAAGACATAGAGTTGAGTATGTATATACAAAACACTCTCCCAAATCGGAAAGATAGAAGACGTAACATAACGCTTAAGAGGCCATCCACAATCCGTTGAATTCACATACCCCTAGTGTGCGAATTCCACGGACATGTCATATTGCTACACAACAAACTCTCTTATCACCAGCTTTAAGATCATATGCCTAAGAAATATCGGTGCTGTTTACAAGTTTACCACTATAGTAATCCTATTCAAATCCCATACTTATTCATATAATGCTTTTACTTATTTGAGACCTTCCATATATTTGTTTTATTTCATAGACCTTAAGTCTTGAAATAGGACTTCACGCTATAACTTTACTATTATAATGCTTATGCATAGACTTTCTGTATTATTGATTTTGTATCATAGACCTTACTCTTATAAGTCCTTAATATGGGACTATTACATTGTGTATTAGTACTTCGGTGACCACCACATACGTATAACTACAGGTATTTGTCTCCGGCAATAAAATCAATCAATACATGAACATGCTCCAGAAATTTATGAACACGCCCCATTATCAACTTGTACTTCTATTATTTAATACCTTTTGAATATTGTAATCCATCCGAACTGCTGGGTTTCAGTTGATGCAGCACCACCACCCACCATATTATCCGGACCTATCTTGGAGTGATATTCACCTTTTTACCCATCTGAAAAAGCACTTGCTTGGTATAAAATTCGACGGCCGAGGTGATGTGTGCTTTAGAGCCCTTTTTGATTCCCAGAATCAGCCTTTTTTTCCCAAGGGAATTGACAAACTTGCAAAGCACTATTCTAGGTGTATTAGCTTAAAAAAGGGGTTTACGTTGAAAAATAAATACAATTTGCATATAATCCTAGACTTTCATTCCTTTTGTAAAAACTTGTATGAGATAAATTTCAAAGAATAGACCAGGGTAAAAAAAAACATTAAGTACTTTTTAGGGTAGGTCGATATTTTTAATGAATAACAAAATGTTATCTAGTCTATAAAGGCTATAAACAATTAATGGTGAATTCGCTTTAGGATCCCTTAGTTAATGCATGCAGTCACACACATCCTTCACATGTTCCCGGATAAAGCAATTTAGCACCGTTGCATCTCATCCTGAAAATTTGTAATTTAATCATAATATGACTAAGTTTATTTGTTTAATATTAATTCATACACACGGAAGTTTGGCGTCGAATGCTCTAGCAGTATTTGGACTACGCTCAGTACCTTTTTAGTAACCATTTAAGTAACAAATTTGAAATATGCTGCTGTTGTAAGCAGTAAGTAAGCGAAATCCCCCCCCCCCCATGTGTCAATCTACGGGGGAGGCCTATGTTCAGCAGTGGACTTTTATAAGCATTGGTGTTACTAAACAAACTTATTTCTTTCTTCATTTCTATTTTAAAATTGCTTCATTACTCCCAAATACATAGGTACTATCATAGGCGTATATATAGGCTGTAAATTTGCTTTCCTTTTGCCTGTTATTTCATTATTTCCCGATCCACACGAGACTAGGACTAAGTTTAAACGTACATTTAGCCAAGGCTCTCAGAAGTTGAAAAATCCGCCCATATTTTTTATACGTGGTAGAGCCACGCTGCTGCTATATTATGATATGTATGGCTTGGTTCGGCTGGGGAAGGACCACGCTGTCACAGAATATCAGCGTAAAATAGTAGCATAATACTGCTGTGCATCGTGCTATGAGAGATCCGGAGATCCTTATTTACTGGAACAAGGCATTCTATCTTAGTCCTCATGGGTGACAACGCCTCTGCGTTTTGATTTTTAATGGGGATAAATGTAGATGTCTATGGACCACACCATTCACTTACCACCAGGTGAACTGTGTGCTCGTTTGTCACCCTTATTCTATAAAAATTATATTTGTTCTCGTCTATGGGTCACAGCATCCACTTACCGTCACGGTACTTTTTTTGTTTAATATATATTTATTTTATTCCTTATCTTCATTCAGGCATCTAAGTTTAGTTCATTCGTAGGATAGTGATTTTATAGTGTTGGTGACTTTGTATTTCTTTATACGCACCTGCATAGGTTGCAGTAAGTTATGCCGTTAGTGGCGCAGACTGGTTTGTACTCTGTGGTACATATGCATCCGGACGCACTGGCCATCGACATTGCGAGGAGTAAAATTGAGAGAACTGTTAACATCAAAATTATAACCCTTATATAATTGTATATAACACTAGGCGGTGGACTGCTTTTATGTGTAGGAGTCTGCCTGGGTTGGAAACACCCTCTTACAACAGGCTGTGTGGCATCCATCTTAGTTTTCAGAGAAGGCAACGTATCAATAGCCTTCTTTGTTTGATGGGGGCTAAATTTGCCCCTAGACTGAGGTAGCCGCTTACCATCAGGTGGACTGTGTGCTCGCTTGTCACTCTTATTCCATAAATGAATAAAAATAATTAATAAATATTCGCATTCCATAAAATTACTTATTAATTAAACTATTTTCAAGGATTTTATCACGTTTAACTTTATTTATTTTTAATTTCGTTAAAAAACAAGGAAAGTCAAATAAGTAAAGTTTAACGCAATATAACCAATATATATGTAAAAGGTTTAAATATAAGAAATCATTAGAAAATTATTTGTTTCATAAAGAAAAGCGAAAACCATTAACCGCTAACACATAAATACAATATACTCACAGATAACAAATTTCATGTTGTGGTGTTGGCGTGCGTCTCGCGAGAAACAACGTTGGCTCAGTATGAGGGAACTGACTCAGATATGCCTTTATATACAGCTAGCTGAAAACATATCTTTAAATTATACGTAGTAAATTGTGAATCCCTTATCGCCTTTCCCGATACGGTTTTCTTTGTAAGTAAATGTCACATAAAAATAAATATTTTTTAAGATGTAACCGTAAAATTTTACACCTTATGATAAGTAAAAAATTAAAGATGGCCGGTAAATATACTCTGTCTTCTTGATAGTGGCTAATCAGTGGCGTTCACAATATAAATCAGATAAGCTAACAATAAGTTAATAAGCTCTTCGTCAAAGATGATCTACGACACTTTGCGCCACCAGGGCGGCGCTACTTTAAAATGAGTTGAAATATTTGATAAATTCCAAAGCAGGGGAAGCTAATTTGTGGGAAAAGTGTAGATTAATGTTTCTTATTGAAATATTTGTTATATTTTATATTAATTAAATTAGAAATTGATAAACCACTACATATTAATGTATAAAAAAAGAAAGAACACACCACTGAGGCCATGTTTTGTGTTTATACATAAACTGGAAACCGAAAACCTTTTATTTAAAACGCAACTTTTTAATTAAGATGAGTCTGTGGCTACCATCTACGCATAACAAATATTATGTTCACGTTGGTTCGCCATTAACGTCTACATCTGCTTTTTCACTTTTTGATCCTGTAACAATATTACTCCTTAACGTTTTTCGCCCATTAAGCGTTGAAATTTTAAAAACATAACTTCGGAATTCTTATAAATACAGAAACATACAAATATTTTTTTTAAATTTATCTTTCATATATCTCTACATTCCCTATCCTCTTAAAATTTTGACGGATCCATAGCGCAGAGCCGCTGGGTCGCGAGTTCGAATCCCGCCCGAAATAAGTTCGTATAGCCTACAAATAAATTGTCCGAATCTGAATGAATGTCCTTGTGTAATTAATAAAAATAAACCGGTTCCACGGTACAGAAGATTCAATAAAAAAACATACTTTTGCGATACGATGCTCTCTTGATGCGACGGTGACGCTCTCTTCTCCCACTTGAACTGGTCCTGCATCTTCTGTCGCCTCTTACGACATTCACGGAACTATATGGGGTTGAGAATATTTGTACACCGTCACTACAAGATTTTTGTCATTTTAAATTTTTTACAGAATAAAGTTGACAAACGAGTACACAGTCTACCTGATGGTAAGTGGATGCCGTGGCCTATGGATATCTACGTCTATCCTCGATTAAGAATCAATATTCAGATGCGGTGTAACCCCTGAGGACTAAAGTGGAATGCCATGTTTCCAGTAAAAAGTCTCGGCATCTCTTCCCTCACTATACGAAACACAGCAGCATTAATTAAGCAGCTTTTCATCATCAAACAATCATTAAATGTTGGTACTTTGTGAGAGCGTCGTCCTTCCCCAGTAGAGACGCACGTAAGTAACTTAGGTTTGATCGCCACCGGCAACAATGAAATTACAATATTTACTACGTGCATGGCCTTGAATGAAACCATTGTAAAGAAACCTTTAAGTCTGAAGAATAAAATATTTTGAGTCAATATGAAATCCCTCCAACACGCACTGGAGTAGGGCTTTCTGGTAAATGCCGTACCACTGTTCTTTTTTTTTTAAATATTTTCTAATTCGGAGTTTACTGGTTGCTTACTATATTATATACTTGAACGGTTTTTTATCACATATTGCAGCATAATGATAAATTTAACATAAAGTAACACGCTCATAGACATTATTGATATATTACATAGTTGTACCATTTTTCTCACGTACACAACTGCGAACGTACGTGATGAAGATAATGTACATTGTCATTTTAATTGCTTGAAAATTATTAAATTCTTAACCGATATAATATATTAGGTAATTAATATGTAGTAGTGCCATTAATAGGTCGATTCAACGTGAAAAAAACCACGTTCTCATAAAACTCTATCGTAAAATGATGTCAAATAATGTTTCTTTCTATTCGACGCCACAGTCAGTAATTTATTCTTAGGGCGATGTATACGCTTTTACAATAAAATCCCAAAAAATATACCTAAAATTTGTCCTTCAACAAGTTTAAAACCTTAAATAAACAAAGACGGTATATAAAGGGTTATAATAATATTAAGGAATGTATGAATGATAATAACCCCTGGGAATGAGGTGATCGCTACTGAGCTATTATATTATTTATATTATATTAGTTTTCTGCATAGTTGATTGTGTATAATAAAACGTATAGGGCAGTAAACTTTCCTTTTTAAAAAAATGTCCCGCTTCGTTTCTTGTTGGTTGCTCACAGCACAGAGATATTTTCCGAACTAGAAGAAAGTCTATACAATTAAATGAAATTGAAGTGTCAGTTTATAATGTCGAAATAACAGCTTTTTCCTAAATATATGTGAAAGTATAAAAGTATAGATCCCAACGATGAACTAGCTTTTTCACATCCAGCGCTTCAACCAGGATGGTTTCAATTCTTAAGGTGATAGTTTCATCTTATATCTCTTCCTAGGATCTCTTCCTTATGGGGACGCAGAAGGGTGACGTACCCTTCTCTAACACGGCCGATGTAATAGATGATGAAATTCATATAAATCAATAACATAAAAAGAAAGAATTTCATGAAGAGCAATAAAAAAAATCTACGCTTTTCTACTTAAGTTTGGAAGTATTAGTTTGTTACAAATGACGAAGTATTCCTAGACAAAACTAAACGAGGATATTTTATAATGATATACATTCATTTATAACCATCCATAGAAATTTAATCGTTAAGAGGCGTAAGCGCCTTCTCTACAAGGCATTGTAAAATATAACAAATGTTGTTTAATGCAATTCCAGTTCTTTAACGGTTAAAGGTTCCGCAATTCGATTATTGCCGTGAACGCTTATAATATCATTTCTAGTAATGTTTTAAATTATTTATATTTATTTATTAGAATAGATTTTTAATCAGGCACAATCACTAATCGGCGTTATTTATAAATATTGTGGTGTGTAATGTTGTATGTGTTACTGTATGTCTATGATAGTGTATAGCCGAAAAACACTAGCGATTATAGTATTTAAAACTAATTAAATTGATAATGCGGACAAGCACAGCAAGGTGCAACAGCGGGCGCGGATTAGCGAAGACTGTCTTGCACTGATGACCCTTTTTTGAAGTTGAATTGGAGTGACAATTTTACACACATCGCCAACCATCTATGATAAATATGAATAGATTAATTCGAGTGCATGTTCGGCGCGAATATACTCCCGGCCTTGAAAGGTCCCCTTTCAAAATATTTTAGGAGTAACTTATTATTAATTACATAAGTGACAAATATATCTGAAATAGAGAGATATGATGCGAACCACGGACAGTGTGTGATGACCAATTAAAATTTGCAAACAAGATATAAATAGTATTACGAAATTGCGAGATTGACAAACAATATTTAAACTTATATATTACTTAATACCTATCTATTTTTAATAATCACTATTGTGTAGGCAGTGGACACAATCGTACCACAGGTCTCTTATAGATACCGCGACTAGTTTTGATAGTAGCTACTCTTGCAATCCTATCTGCACCTGAATGAACGTCAGTTATAACTCCCATCTCCCACTGTAATGGCGGAACGTTGGTATCCTGTATTACTAGCACTACTGTACCTAGCATAATATTTGCAGATGGAACGTTCCATTTCACGCGCGCCTGTAGTGTGCTTAGATATTCGAGTGACCATCGGTCCCAGAATGACTGCACTAGGTTGTCGACGGTTCTTGCTAGGTCTTCCACCGGGGCGGCGGGTAAATACTTAAGCGATGTTAAGGTCAAAAAATGAGAGGGAGTTATAGCTAGCGGCTCACTTAGATCTTGGCTTAACGTTGTACAAAGCGAACGCGAGTTGACTACATTTTCAATTTGACATAAAACCGTGTTCATTTCTTCGTAAGTTAGTATTTGCGAGCCAATAGATCTGTAAAGATGCGATTTCACGGATTTAATTAATGGTTCCCGTGATCCAAAGTGAGGTGCACTAGGTGGTGTGTTTTTCCATTCTATTTTATACTCATTTAGCTGATGCACTAAAGCAGAGCGATATTGCGTTGACGTTATGAATTTAAAAAGCTCGTCAAGGTATGATTTTGCACCCCGGAAATTACTGGCGTTATCAGAATGCATCACCGACACAGGTCCTCGACGCGAAATAAATCGTTTGAAAGCAGACATGAACGCAGGAGTACTCAAGTCGGTGGTGAACTCAATATGAATAGCGCGAGTTGTCAAACACACAAATAGGCATATATACGCTTTATGGCTACGAACGCCACGGCCACGTTTCGGAGTAATGAACAGCGGCCCTCCGTAATCGCAACCCGTTTGAACAAATGCTTTAGGTACAACTTGAGTTCGTACCGGGGGCAGATCTCCCATAAGTGGACAAATAGATTTGGGTGATGTGCGAAAACAATGATTGCATTTATCTATTATCGAACGGATCGTTCGCATAGCGGTAATAATCCAATACCTCTGTCGTAATAAACTATCTAATAAATTGGGACCAGTATGGCAATGCATACGATGATAATGATCTACAATGAGGTTCACTACATGATCTTTCCTAGGTAACAAGATAGGATGCCGATGGTCGAAGGTTAAGTTAGCGTTACTTAATCTTCCTCTAACGCGGATAAGTCCGTTGTGAAGAAATGGATGTAATTTCTGTACGTGTTTCTGGCCTTTATTTTCCGATTTTAATTGCCTAAATTCTTCGCGGAAATGGGTTATTTGCACAGCGGTAAGAAGTTTACTTTCCGCAAACTCTAAATCGGAGACGGAAATAAAATTACTGCGCGGTAAATATTTAAGAAATCTATAAATATACACAATAGTGTTCAAAAGTTTGGTCCATTTAGACTGTCGAGAAGCGATATGACACAATAATGGGATATCTTCGGTGGCTGTGGTGAGAGAAATCGATTTCAGTTCTGGAACGTCGTAAGAAGGTTCCAGATTAATCCAGTGTAGTGCTACGGTGGAGTCAGAGAATGCATAAATGCGGTTAATGTTACAACGCGATGAATAGCTATCTGACACAGCGCGTAGTAACTTTGCAAGTAGTAAGGCGGCCATAAGTTCGAGTGTCGGCGTTGTAATAACTCGATTGCTAGGCGAGATTTTGGATTTTGCGCACACCAAGGTAGTCGTTCGCTTGCCGTGGTTGTTCGCATGTATTTTAATATAAACAAAGAAAATTATATAAACAAAGATTAAATTTAAATGTACAAATATACTTTACAAGAATATCTATCTTAAAATATCTTTTCTACAAAATACAAAGAAAAGTAAGAGAGTAAGTAGATATCATAATTTCCTACACATCTGTTAATAGTTCTGTAGTTTTTGTTTTTAATGACTTAATTAAAGCTGAACAGAGACATAAGACATAATATTAAGTAGTTAATCTCCGAGAAGTATTATTTATTACCATATTTACATATAATGGGCGACTGAATTGAATTAGGAGGTGTTTCATTGCAGCAAAATTGACTTATTAACCTGATTTATTTAGTTATTTGCATTTGTATAAACACCTATAACATGTTTCTTACACGCCATGAGATTAAACTTTTTTTATAGAAAAAGGTTGATAACTGAGCACACAGTACACATGATGGTAAGTGGATGCTGTGGCCCGTATACATTTATATTCATGCTCGATTAAGAATCTAAATTCAGATGTGTTGTCACTCCTAAGTACTAACATGGAATGCCTCATTAACAGGAAAACCGGTCTCCATGCCTTGCATGTCAGTTACTAGACTACACAGAACTCATTACGTAATTCATTTACGGGGCAATGATGTTTCTACAAACAAGCCTAAAGTTATAATTAAAAAAAATCAAAATGATTAATAAATTATTATGAACTACATGATCGCACGAGGCGATCACGCAGGTTCTACCTAGGCTGCACTAAAAGTATCGGGAATGGAATATTTCCACTGTTCCTGTCATATTAAAATCTTTTTAATTGAAAACTCCTTGATTTTAAAAATCGAA